AGCCTCTTGCATGTGGAGTTGAATTGCAGAGCTTTGAATTTAAGAAAGGTTAGGCTTAAAAGAAAAAGAGTCGATGCGATTCTGCTTAGCTGCCAACGCTGGACAAGCTAGCCAGTGTTAATAAATGTGAGTTGTCGTTTTGAGTGAGTCTTAATTGCTAATCTTGGCTCTGGTGATTCTGACATCTCAAAAAGACTTACCTAACACTTAAATAATAATCAAGGTTGGTACCAAGTTTTTTATGGGAACAAGCTATGAAAAGGTTGGGCACATAGAGGATATCCGTAGGGTGGCTCAATAGCTGAAGATGCAAAACAATTTTTGCATCTTTGTATATCGATTAAACATTTTCATTTTTTTGAGCAAGTTAGCCACCACGTTACGTGGAAACGAAACTTTCTTCATTATATTTTCCCTGCTTAAAATCCACTTAGCTAATCGACTTTACGTTTTAAGTCCAATATATATTCATACATTCTGTTAGTCTGAGTATCTACTTACAATTACCAGCACATCGATATAATGAGCTGAGGCAACAAAATGTTTTCGGCTTATGGCACACTCTCACACACTTATTGGTATGCACGTATGTGTATTTGTTTTGGGGCACAATCTAATAAAAGCTTTTGCGACATTTGATGATACGCAAAAAAGGATTTAAAATTTAATGAATTTTTGTTTTTACGCACGCCTGCGTGCCGCATAAAAGAAGAGGCGAAAGACATTTGGCTCATTTGCTTCGGTTGGGTGGGGAATGGCAACCCTGCTGAGCAGCACATTTGCCTGTGTTTATTTTGATGTGCGGTGGCAAAAGGCGTGAAATACGCCCACGTACACACACACACACACAAGCACTTTCCATAAAATGGCATGTGGGCAAAAGCCCAAAAAGGTTTTATGTCAAATTGAAAGACGAAAGAGCAACTAAAACTTGCCATGTGTGTAAGTGCGTGTGTGTGTGTGTGCGTGTGTGCGTACGTGTATTTGTATGGGTAGAACTCAAAATGCATGACTCGTCATGGCAACAGGAATCAGGCTCTAAATAATTTAGCAACTGGGCGGACAATAAAATTCGAACCGAAATGTCATACGCATGCATTTGCATATGATTTACCAGGAAAAGGGAATGCAATGCCATGTCCTTACCCCAGTGGTTGTTATCCTTGTTGCTGCTGTTGCTGCTGTTGTTGCCTAACTGTAAACGCGCAGTGCAAATGCCAGTGAAATTGATGCCAGCGGCAAATCAGCAGCTAGAACTGAACTTTATGCCTGCTGCCCTTCCACTCCCACAAAAACACACGCTGTCTCGCTCGAGCAATAAATTCACAATATAATTGTGTATATTCTGCTGTTGTGTGGTCCATACACACACATACACATATGCAAGGCACATATATCTTCTCGTATTTTGTGCAATTTGCATGACCAAATTACGACTTATTTGGGCAAATTGCATTTTGCCTACTTTTGTCAACATTAATTTGTTTAGAAATTAAATTTGATGATTCAACAAATTTGCTCGCATTGCGCCATTGTTAAGCACTTAAAGCACTGCATAAATGTTCATTAGCCTGGCCAAAACGGATGCTGGCCCAATATGCAGACAATGCAGCCGCAGCCAAAAGGCAAATTGTATGAAAAGCTGTAAACAATAATTTCATTAGTGTTAAGCTACACAAAATGCAATCGCTCACAAGTGCTTCTGTGCGAGTGTGTGGTATGCGTGTGTGTGTGTATAGGTAACTAATCAGATTCAGTTCGAATAAGTTGATTAATATATAAGTTGATTAAAATTTGGTAATTATTTTAAATTTATTATATTAATATTTAATTTTAAGCCTGTTAATAATATTGTTTAATGTACATTGATATATAAATATTTTATTTAATTTCTGTTTATATATTTACACACAAGTTTCTTTGTTTGCCAAAATAATAAAGCTATAAAAACAATGATTCAAAAAAGAACATTTGCGTTAAAAATTGTTTAATTGTTTTTATTTTTTATCATGAATTTGCTTTCAAAATAATTAAATAACATCTCATATATTGTTGAAAATTCAAATAAAAAATAGTGGAACAAATTTCGTTTTGGCTTTTAAAATATAAAGAGTATGAAAAAAGTGTATATAAAGTATATATATAGAGTGTATACAGTGTAGAGTCTATAATAATACCCCAGCAGCAGATCGTAGTATAATTCAAAACCAAATCCTGATTTCTGTACCCAACTCCTGTTTATGCTTTGAAAATCGTTTGTGTAATTGACACCCACTCATACACACACATACACGTTCACACACAGATGAGTATCGTATTATGGCCAAGATGTGGGGTTAACTAGACAACATTTACGTCAAAGAGCTGCAACATGAACGATTGCAGCTGCATCATCAGCAACTGTGCGCCTGCCACATGAGCCAACAACAACAGCAACAACAAAATTCCAGTTTGTCTGCATATTTGAGACTTTGTCTGGCAGACATGGCTGAAAAATGCATGAGCCAACGACATTGGCGCCCAACTGGCCCCATATCATATGCTAATGTCAGACGCCCACAAATCCCACATACCCGTTATTATATGTCCACTTCAGCCATCCCCGCATTAAGCTTCAACTTTTGCCTCAGCTTCAACAATCTAATCATCATCAGGATCGATTGTCCACGTTCGTGTCTGCCGTTTGTCCAGTGCAACACATTGGCCACGGTTACGGCTTACTCTGCACATTCTCTCTCTACGTCTCTCCATCAGCTCCCTTTTCTGTCATTTTTCATAAATTTATGCACATTATTTGTCCTGCCGCATGTCGTTTTGATTTTTGCGCAATCCTTTTGCACATTTCTGATACGTCATTTGCATGCAAAACTAACTGAACGCCCAACTATAGATATAGAATTTCAGTGTTTGGTTTTTTAAAACCCGTGCCCCTTAAAACTGGATGAGAAGACGATTAATTAAGTTTGCTGTAAGATTTAAATATCTGTAATATTAGATGCGTAATAACTGCAAAAAATAGTATCTGTGAAATAATCATTATAAGGAAATGATACAATATATTTAGATAGATGTACGAATATTTAACAAACTAGCTGAAGATGCAAAAGTATCCTTGAGACAATAATATCTATTAAGTATGAATGACAAACTATCTTTGAGATACAAGTTTATAGATTAGACATAAAATTATATATGACATCCAAATGACATAAAAGTATCTGTTCAATAAAAGTTAAGTTTTATATGAAAGTGTATCTATAAGATACAAAAGCAGAATATAGATACATATTTTGATGCGTGTAAATATCTCTTAAAAATTCAAAAATAGGTGGAGATGTAAATTTACATACGAGATATAAAAGTAGCTAAGGTAAAAAATCTGCATAATTTGGATACAAAGATATTTTCGAGTAATAAAGTATATATTGTATCTATACACCAAATGCATGCAAAAATTTTTGTGTAACACGAAAGTATTTATAAGCTACAAAAGCATCTGTAAAATACATAAGTATTTTTGGAAACCAGACGAATACATATAGAGCATAATATGTTCGATTTAACTTTTCGTCTGCCAACATTTTTGCAGTATTGTATCGGTCACTTGGCTTTGGTTTTTGGTTTTGTTGTGCACTTTGTGGTTGGTACATGTCCCTTAACTGCATTTGACTTTGGGCTTTGCTGACCATTGTTTACAGCAGCAGTTGGTCGAGCGAGGCTGCTTGGAGCACGGCCAGACTGGGAGCTGTATGTTAGCTAGGCAAGTGTTGCTAGTGAAAGAAGAACAATGGCAAAAGCCACTCGAGCTCGTGTCCAGCTGGTTTAAGCCCTGTCTCTCCAAGAGTTTGCCAGATTGTGTGTGCGTTGTTGTTTCCCCCTTGCAGCTGTAGCATGTACTCGTACCAATATTCAACATTTCTAATAACAATTTTTTGGTGTGAACATCATGCATGTATGTATTTTGTGTGTGTGTGTGAGTGTCGTGTCGCTACGCATACGGGCAAAAAATTTGCATATTTGATTATTTTATATGGCATTTGAAAAGCAATTTATATTCATGAATTTGCAAATTAGCAAACGTGTGGCGGCCCCATCAAAGTTTAATCATTAAATTTCAATTTTAAAAGTTTATTTAAAGCTGCCCATGTCGCATGGTGCATTCCAGAAGCTGCACGGTGGGAGCGCAGCCTGCCACACTGTAAGTCAGCGTCGAGCTGCAATTTATCTGCTGCAAACTAACGTACCGCTCGCTGACGCTCTACTCTCAATTCCCAGTTTATCGATAATTGTTGCAAATTTTTTGAGTTTATGTGGCAAGTTTGAAGCGTAAGTTTGCCACGCGTGTGTCAATTATGCAACAGCTGCGGGCCAAGTTAAACAAATAATAAAGTTTCTAATTATAAGCAATGCCGGCAAAGTTGAGCTCAGTTCCTTTCGGCTACATTCAGTTGATAGCAATCAACTTGAGAGATGACTTCTCGTTGCAGCAGAACGAACAAGAATTGTGGCAACTTCAAGCAGTGCGTGCGTGCCGATGCCCCCTCCGGCGTGTGCGTGCAACTTTGTCTAGAGTGTGTCTGTGTGTGTGTAAGTCAATGAAATTAGTGCCAGCAGGCACAAGCCAAGCCGAGTCTCAACGGAAGTGCTAGTGCCGAGCATCCTTGTCTTTATGACATTTACATTTGACACCAACATCAACCCCCAACTCAATCCTAGGCAACCCCACCGGCAAACCCGGCATAAAAAGTTGAACGGCAAAACTTATTGGTTTCGCCTGCTGCTGATAATCAAAAAGGCGAAAACTCAAATAATTTGCGGCAGCTCATAAAAGTGTTCGACTGGCCATTTCCTTTTGCCAAGTTTAGAACAATTTTCAAGTTTCCCAAATAGGGTAGAGCATGCGACCCGGAAAGATCTAACTCTCGGCGGATATAATAAAAGAGAAAAAATTGCAGAAGTTTTACCACTTAGATGACACAATTATTGTGAACATTTCGTAAGATAAGCGACAAATTTTATTAATTTATATGTGCTGCCATATAATATTTTCGTCCTTCTGAGCTCACTTAAACAATTACGAATACAAACTGAATTATTCGGGATTTTAGGCATCTGTTGGGCAATCATCCGCTTTCTTCGCGAGTATTTGATCTTTGGTTTTTAGGATTATATCCACCCATTTCTCCCATTTGATTTTCCATTTTGTCATTGCCAGCGCCTTCTCTTCATCGGGCAGAGAGCTATATTTAATGGAGTTTTTGGAGATGCGTTTCAGAAACTTCAGGTCCGTGTACATGGGCTAACGAAAAGGCAAGCTTGGGTGAAGCCAAATTTTTAAGGGAACTTAAGCTCACCGCAATGCCCAAAAAGGCCATGTAAAAGTCGTGTGAGAGCGGAGAAGTGCGCCAAAACGAGGGATTGCCGGAAGAGATGACAAAGGGTATATCGTTTGCAATCAGACAGGCAGCAGGATGATTGCGATAGTCGGCGCCCAGTTGCAGTACCTGGCTGCAAACGGGACAAACCTCTATGGCAATGTCTAGTTTCTTAACCAGCTGCATCACCAGCGGATGCTTGGTGATGGCATAGGCGTGGCCGATGCGCTTGGTACCCAGCAGCACAGCGTCTATGAGATTCTCATCCACGTGTGTGCCATACCAGTTGGTCTGGCCCGCATGAAGATATAGACCGATATGGGCCGGCAGCCTCTGCAGCTCACCGGCAAAGTTTAAAAGCGGGTCACCCACATCCTCCTGGCCAATTAGATCGAAGCCAACCACAAATTTGGGAAACTCTTTCTGTGATGGATAAGTGACGACAGTTTAAGTGAGCGCAAATTGGGATAGGTTTCAGTTATTTCTACGCACATTAAGCTCAATGCACATATTGACAAACTTGTGGACCTCTTCGACTGTGGCACGACGCTGCGGAGAATAGATGATTCTTGCGTCTATAAAGTCCGGATAGTCCTCTTTGAAGCGTTGCAAGTGCTCCTGGTAGACCTTGACAGTTTCTTGGACCGGCAGCTTGGTCCCGTCCAGGCAGTAAAAACGCTTCAGCCTTGTGCGCACCTCCACATACTGTGCTCCATCCTCGTAGAACTCCTTAAGCGCATTGTAGAAGTACTTACCCCAGACTGGCGGATATCTGAGTAGCCCGTCGAGAAGCAAGGAAATTTTCATCAGGTGTTGCCAAGCGGCGGCACTTGTTGTTTTCTCTACCATTGGATACATGCTAAAAGCATTATGCAAATGTCTGTTTAGGTTCTCTTCGCCCCGATAGTCACGCAACTGTTCCATGGTCTGCCATTCGCCGCCCTCGATTCGCGTATCAGTTGGCTTCTCCTGGGAGAAGCGAAAGCTTCGCAGTCTGCAGCCATTGTCCGTGGTACACACCCACAGATGCTTCTCGTAGGTCAGCTTGATGAGGAAATCGGTGCTGCACATGGACCTAGAGTGTGCCTTGAGAGCGCCACCCTTGGGCATCTTGCTGAGCAGAAAGAACAAACGCGATTCCTTGATTTTGCCCAATCTCTCAAAGATGTGATAGCCCGGCACAAACTGGCTGGGATCATCGATGCCCTTACTGTACTCCTCCATCTTGAGGCACATTATCACATCGTTCACCTCGATCTCTTTGTTGGTCAGCTCGATGTCATTGCCCAAGGTCCCAAAACGCTCCAATGTGCAAACCAGCTCACGCAGTTTCCTAAAATCCGCTGGCGAGCTTTTGCGCAGGTTGCTTTGACCAATTAGCTGAGTGAATGCGCTGCCTGTCAAATGACGCCTCATTTGGCCAAAGATAACGCAGCACCGAATCATTGAAAACATCTAATTTTGTTGTCTAAATTTGAATTTTCAGTCAAGGATAAGTCATAAAATTTTTATCAATATATCCAAGTTTGTCCTGACTGTGGATCAAAAGTGAGTTCCAAGACGGACTTTTGGAAAGTTAAAGCTCCAAGTGACATCAAACGGTCGTGTCAGCTTGTATGAAAATAAATCACCAAGAATGCAGCAAAAGTGAAATCAAGGGCATTCTTGGCAAGGAAAGAAGTCATCGATTTAAATCAACCAGCAATTTCAATTTTTTGTATTTCTTAGTAGCGAGTATCTGCCTGAAATTGGATATTGAAACAATTGTCACTTGTCCTCAAAAGCTTGAACTAGAACTAGCCAAATTATAAACTGCCTCGCACAAAAAGTACATTTATTGTTATAAATATATAGCCCAATAAGTGTTTATAGTAATTGTTTAGTCAGTGTGAGGTCTATTCAATTGGAAAAAATCAGATTACTTTTTTGATATCTTTTGAGCTCTTTCATAATTTGTTTTCTGTGAATTTTACATCATTTTCAGTCTGTTTGTTGTCGAGCTTAACTTTAAATTGTGCTTTTCAAAATGAACTGTCATTAAACGTAAACTTTTGGTTTGATTTTTAAAAACGCAAGCGAAGCCAGTAACCACTTAAATGTGTATAGACAACACTTCGGTTTGAGTTGTGTCACGTACTTGAACTTTGTTTGTTTCCAGGCCAAGCTCCAGTCAAGGTGAGCTCCCCTACAGACACACACACACACACACACGCTGCTCATGCCAAGCAGCACCCACACTCTGATTTATTTGCTGCTTACAAGATTTTGCTTAAGTGTTTTTTAGCAGCATTACGTTACTTACTCCGTAAACTCCCTCAACCCCCGGGTGTCTTCCATACACGGAGCATATCAAGCAGAGCCCGTTGCAATTGCCCAGGGCCATGAAACTTTTCAAGTGTTAACGAGTTTTGTTGCACACATGTGTCGATTGCATACGTAGTGCACTTCGCTTGAAAACTTGCACGACATTTAAGCAACAACAGCAGCAGCTGCAACAACAACAGCAGCAACAACAGCATCAAAAACAACAACAACGGCAGAAGAGCGACAAGTGGCAAACTGATATGCAGCTCTTTTACTCTGCCAGAGCATAGAATTTGATTTCGTGCAAAAACAATTTGCATCTTAATTGCATACTAGAAACAGAAAATACGGATATAAACAACTCAGTCAAGCAGCTACTTCTATAATTTGACTAACTCGTGTGCTACTATAGAACGAAGGTGCAAGAGAGAGTGAAATAGAGAAAGAGAGAGAACGAAAGAAGTTGCCTTCTTAGCTGATATAAACTTTAAGGCAAACTATCCCCTAATATTGCACACTTCTGTTAGTTATGGTATTTGGTTGCACTTAGTTCTAAATCGATCATATTAACGATAATCGTTAAGGTAGAAGGGCTAGAGATGGCACTTGTGTCTGTAAATTACCAGAAATATAGTAGTTTACATTATCTCTATTAATATATCTGTAAATATATATTTATCATAAAAACACATAAACGCACAATTGTATTATTGATATATTTTAGGAGGAAATTGGGAAGTCTTATGTATTTTTTTTTTGTATTTGCAGTGCAACCCGAACATCCAATAAAAGTATTTTCTATTGTTACTTAAAGAAAACTATTGAAAAATATGTATAAAATATTTGAAAATTTTTGTGTACTCCTGCTTTTAGTCAATTGAGTCCACATTTCTGGTGCTCGCACATGTTTTGTGTGCTACTAAATCGAAATCCCTAGTTGAATTCAGTTTCAGCTTGCTTGTCTGTTCTGTTCACGCCGTCTACACATAGGCACACAGCATATCCTTGCATATCATCTGTTTTTGCCCCTCGTTTTTGTCTGTTACAAATTATGCTCATATAAATTTTTATAAAACATTTCTGGCGTTGCCATTTTATTTTATGTTTCTTTTTGTAACAACTGCGTCTCATACACTCACTTACACCAGCGCACTCAACGTATATACATCCACACACACACCCATCCATATACACTCACCAACTGCCTTACATTTTGCTGTGCACAAAAGTAGGCAACAAAATGTGCGCGAGGCGAAACGGGTTTTATGTCTGCAGCAAAAATGAAGAGCAATTCACACTTGAAAAGTTTCAACATGCGTTTTTAAGTCGCACACAAAGGAAACCCAACTATTTTATACATATACATATGCATAGTAAAATTTTTTGTGTTTTTTTAATTGTAGATATTCTGTTAACTTTAACCCTTTAAGGAACGAAAATTTACTAGAATAAAAAGAAACTTTAAAGCATTTGTTAAGGTAATGTGGGATGGATTGGGTGAGGACCAGAATTGGTCAAGTATGTAATTATAATAATAAAGACAGAACATAAAGAAAACCGTTATTTAAAATAATAGGTTATTTAATATAATAGGTTTATGCTTGACATATTACTGATTGGAAATATCAGCATTTAGCCCATTTAGGAGTAAAGATGTCTTCCTTTTGGCTGCACAGCCTAACCTTATTTTTTGATAGATTAAAAATCGGGTAATGTTGATATAAATGCGTGGGTACTCAACCGAAATTATGCTTTTATATAAAAAAATTATGGAAAATATATACATGATAAATGCTTATTATTGTAGGGATATTCTGCCTTGTAAAACACATGCGTATTGCTTTGGTTCATTATTGCGCATTTTGGTGTGTTAATGTGTGTGAATATGAAGCTGATGGCTGCCCCTAAAAACAGCTGCAAGCCCGGCGCCCATTGCCATTTGTGCGTTCATAATGTTAGGTCGGAGACGTTGCCCATAAAAAAGGGTTCGCACTTTGGAATTTGTATGTGTATGCATGTGTGTGTGTGTGTGTGCTTGTTGCGTGTGCGGCCTTGTGTATGTTTATGTTTATGTCAGTTTATTGTGGCACTTTGGAAGCCTTTTGCCAGTTTATTTTTCGTGCCGGGGCAAGCTAACTAATTTAATATGCATAAATGCTAGCACATGTTTCATAAATGGCATTTTAAAGCCGCACGAAATGGGTTTATTATGTAGGCTACCCGCTTACCACATTTCGCATACAATATGAATTTCTATTAATGCTTTTTATGCTGACTTTGCCAGGCTCAACAACTGTCTGTGTTTGTGTGTGGGTATGTGTGTATGTTGTGTTGCTCTCTGTTGTAAAACACCAACGTATAATTTCCGCACATGCAAACATATGCAGACACACAGGCAGGCTAACATATTTGCATGCAATAGTAAAAGGAAAAGCAGCAAAAAAACTGTTGCATACTTTTGTGCGCAACCAAAAGTCTCGCACAGCTTCAACACAATGAACTCGCATTTAATGTCATAATTAAACCGAACACAACGCCATGGCAATTGTCAAACAGCTACAGATAAGCCAAAGCTCTGACTGCCTATATCCCTACCCCCCTACACTCCCAGCTACTGCCGCGCTCGTGATGTCTGTTGGCCAAAATGAGCGACATTTAGACGCGCCGCTGCCAACAGCTGTTGAAACTCTTTAGCGCGCAATGTGTGTGCAGCATTCGTAAACGATGCCAGTGCTCCACTTGCCACTCGGCGCCAACCCTCCCCTACCCACTGACTTTATGATGGCAGCTTAACTGGAAACAATGGCTGCCCTTCGCAGTCCGTCACCTTGACGTCTAGTTGTTAAGCTTGCGGCTGGCATTTTTATCTGTTGCCTGTTGTCTTTGTCTTTGCCGCATTGTCATTGTCACAATAGCCAAAAATTTGTGCTAACATACACACGCACACACACACACAAACGCAAAGACACACACAAAGGCACTCACAAACTGTTTGATTACAAATTTTTGCTTTTGTCAAATTGATTTGTCTACGAGCAGCACGTAGACAGCTACCATCGCCTTTATATTGTCACCATGCCCTAACCTAAGCAATTTACATTTTGACGCGCTTGATGCTTTGAATTGCGCGGCACGTTTGCTGCCTATTTGAATTACGAGTATGTCAATAGCATTGGACGCGTTTTGCCTGCGTCTTCCTTTTGGCCATCTCAAATAAATGTCAATAAAATATCGCAGCTACTTGTTACAGCAGCAAAAGTGCTTAAAGCCAACGCATTACTTGAGTGTTGAGAGCTATTTCAGGTTATTTTAAAGTATATATCGACATAATTCTTTACAGCTGCCTTAGAAATATTTTAATATTGTATATTTCAATCAAGTTTTTTTTTTATAACTAAATGAACATTCATTAATGATATACTAGCAACACATTTGCTATAAAATTGGTTCGTAAATATAAGATCCCCTCTTATGAATTATAGATGGGGAGAATCTATGTAAAACTCTTATAACCATCATACCTTCCAGTTTCGAAATTCAGAAATAACTATAACAATAACTACATCCAGATGCTTGCAACCTTTCTATTCCTGTTTTTGGTTTTATTTAAGCCTTTAATGAATTTAACTAGGACATTTTCATTTCTTAAATGTTCCTTCCTACCCCATCTACATTAAGTGCGCTTCGTCTATCGCAGCTGCATAAATGAACTAAACATTGTTAAATCGCTCCACAGCCGCCACTTACAATATTTATGGCAATGACTGCATTTGTTAAACAGTTGGCACTTGGGTGGGGGCTTTGTTGAAGCAATATGACTGCAATTCTAGTGGCCATATATAGCAGCAATAAAAGAAATTATAAAATAATATTAACAGTCCAGCAACAACCATGGCCAATCTGGCAGGCATTTAGTGCCGGACCACGAACCAGACTCAACAATGTGTATAGAGTGTGCCACCTAAAACAACAAAAATTAAAAAAAAACAAGACTGAAGGACGATCTTTAGTACGCCGAAGTTTGAATACTCTTGAACTCCTGTGGCTTGAAAATGCTTTTATGCATAAGCTGTATACCAAAGCTTGGTGAAGTTATCAGGAAATACAAAAAACTACTCCTTACCAATTCTAACTATGCTCTCGTATCACATATTTGTACGAATTTGATAAGATTTGTGTAAGGAGCATAAAAGGAGGACTAGACTCATAAATGCTGATCTTGGTCAAAAATCTGGAAGAACAAAAATGTTTTTTATACAAAAACTCAATTTACGAATGATAAAGGCTGCCGATCTGGCAAAAGTACTTACGGATAAAAGACCCAATCGATATGCCGTCTTCTATGTGTCACAAATTGCCTGACCAAATTGTAATACCCTACGCAGGGGCAAACAAAATGGAAGAAGGGAAAGTGGCATTTTACGTTTATGGTTATGTGGGTGCAGTTCAGTTCGCCGGCTGCTGGAGACCGCTGTGAGCTGGAGCCTAGCTTAAAGGCTAAACTGCAACCAGCAAAACTGCAAACTGCAAATAGCAACAAATGGCTAACGGCTGGCAGGTAATAACGGCAAAGACCTCGACTGCATTTAAAGTGCAGCTGCAATTAAGGTCCCCAACTAATTGTACGGCAACTAAGTTGACTCTTCGCAGCGAGCATATTTTCGTTTATAATTCTTTTTTTTTTTTGTCTGACAGCCAAAATTTGAAGGTGATGTTACTAATTTAACTCAAAGTTACTCTGTGATGTGTTGTCAGTGTTACCATATTTTTAGTATTATATGGAACTCTTCTGTAGACATCAGTGTGACGGACAGCTTAATTTAAAAAAATACTAACTACATTTGGTAAATAATGTTTATAAAGTATCAGTGTGGCCGTATTTCCAATTCGTTCTTCCATTTCGTTGCGGAGAGCACATATTTTGGAGCTGCACAATTTGTGGATAGCTTTTAGACATATCTTCTAGCTAGACAGCCCACATACGACTGCCCAACCCTGTTGCTGCCTCTTTGCTGTCGTAAAGCCTCATTTTGCTTTGGGTGGTGACTTGTGTGACACACAGAGCACAACTCAGTTAGCCCGGAAGAGCCACAGCTAGTAGATAGAGGGGCAAAACAGCCAGGCAAACATGCATAAAAAAGTTTCATAATAAAATTATTTGTTTGGGCCCAAATAGACAAGTTTTCAGCCATACATTTCATTTGTGCGAAATGTCACTCTGGGGCATACTTTTGCCCAACAACCGAACAACTGAACAACAGAGCAACAACAACGACATCGAGGCAACAGCAAGAACAACAAGCAGACATGTTTGCCAAATTTGCAAGTGAGCTTCAGGATACGCAGAATGGCAACGCGCATAGAGGCAGCCAGCCAGCCAGCTCCATGTCAATGGCAAGTCAGTGGCAATTAAACATGGCCGAGGCAACTGTGCACTTCGCAGGCTAAACATTTGCATTTAAATAAAAAACTCAAATAAAAATTAAATAAAAATAAAAATGCAATGCATTTTTGTTGGCGCTTTTCATTAGCCGGGAAGCCATAGCTGCAGCTACATGCTGCTCCTGCTGTTCCCGCTGCTCCTGCTGCTGTTGTCTGGCATCCAAAGTGACTTTCAGTGTAAACGTCAGCGCTTTGTGCTGTTGACATTTGTGCGCCCAGACGACGACGACGAGAAAGAGGAGAAACGCTGGCGTTGGGGGCAACAATTTGCGATAAACATCTCAGTGGCATGCAAATCCCTTTTAGGAATGCCAACAGGCGCAGAAGTACACTTCAGCATTTTGAAGAAGCGCCCCATAAAGCAAAAGTAGCTGACAAACGGATGTTAGATGCGGCATCCTATTCGATTTAAGTGGCAAGTGGGAATTAACCAACACTGCCACCATTTACATCTACTTCAAATTGCACTTGATTTTGAGTTGACGGTTGAGCTATGAGCAACACATAGTCAGCAAAGTAACATGAATTAGCAGACTAAGCAATTATATAAGTGCAATGTATCTGAAATAAGCCACTCTAAAGAGCCTCTCTCTTAATCAAATAACCAGAAGCTTTTAGCCGAGCGAAAGCTTAAAGCTCAGTTACATCGTTAAAATGCATATTACATTTTAAATATCGCAGAGGAGCTCCAATGCACATTTTATAGTCTGTTTAAGCTATTCCTTAACTTTCGGGAATACACAGTAATTGGACTAGCGAACGCTTAAAGCTTCTGGAACTTGCTGCTGCACATTCCTTGATCTACATAGGCAGTCTTGTAACTATCTGGAGTATCCAGAAATGATACTAATAGAAACACAGTGAAAGCTTAAAGCCGCAGAGAAAAGTTCCAATGCACATTGCCTAGTCCGCCTGTGCAGCCATTTAACTAACTCTTCTAACTGGACTACACATTAATTGGACTAATAAGTAGCGAATGCAATTTGTCGCTGTCAAATACGAAAAAGCCACAGAATAGTTATAATGCATATTCCTTGATTTGATTAGGAAGTCTTTTCACTATTTGAAGTACCCAGCAATTGGACTGACTCGAGCGACAGCTTGAGCTCATTCCATTTGTTGGCACGTTTAAAAAAAAAACATGAAAACGGCTGAAAATTTTGGGGGTGAAGCCTAATTACGTTTTTATATAATTTAAGGGAAGCATATTATTCTTTACAAATCCGAGAAGCTGATTACTCATACATTTGCACTCCCGGTAGGAATCAAATACTTGTCAGAATTGATATCGGTTGGCAATTCATCAATTCTATTTTAAAAATTTTGAAGTTGTTTGGCCAAAATAAGTAGTTATATAGTTTGACCTGTTAATATGAATAATAACTTAAGCGTTTCCGTGGTTAACCTTCTGACATGTAGAATTAACGCTTAGTCCGATAAAAGTGCCACATATCACAAACGCTCGGTTTCTGATCGCATTCGCAGGCAGTGACTGGTGGCGCTAGTTCAAATTTCTTGCACTCAGAAAAGCTGAGATACGGCGTCTGGCGCTTCACGCAGCAGGAGGGCAAGCGACCAGGATAGCATTTGCCATCCGGTTTGCTGGATCGACAGGTGACACTACGAAACTTGCAACAGGGCCAGGGCAAGGTTTTTACCGGAAAAAGTCTGGGTGGCGGGGCCCGAGGGCTCTTCGGCAGTTCACAATCTTCAGGCTCACAGGCGGTGCAGAGCTTACCCCGGAATGCTTTTGGATTACGACGCTCAAGTGCCGGATAGATTTTTCGCACATTTCGCTTACGTCTCGGCACCGGCTTGAATTCGCACCAAGTCCTTTGATAATTTAGTTTTAATTTGTCCGTCGGCTTGTATCCCTTTACATCCATCGGTACGGCGCAAGGCTCCGGGTGACAGGGATCTGGCTCTATTTCCTGATACGCCAGACACTTGTATTCTGATCGTCGCAGCCTTAAATAGCAGGGCGTACGCAGCTTCGTCTCGAGCCGCATTTGACGCAACTTCTCCTTGAGCAATTCGCCGGACAACTTAATCCTTTCGGGATAATCACTAGAGTACCAAAGGATTGGCTGTGCAAGCTTGGCACAGCTCTTGGCTTGCGGTAATTTTGTTAAGCTACGTAAATTATTCATATTTCCGAAAGCAAACTGAAAATTTAGTATTGTTTCATGCCAAACGCCTGATTTCGAATATGAAAAAAAGAGCCTTGGCAAACCATCTAAGTCTGACACAAATCTGACAATAATCTCAAGGCTTCTATGATAACAAGAAAAAAAAAAAAAAAAAAAAAAAAAAAAAAAAAAACAAAAAAAACATAGAAGGTACAGAATCGAAAATAAACTGAAATTTGAAATTTTTTGTAAAAATTGAATGTCACTTTTTATTCAGTAAAATTGAATAATTTATATATCGGAGAAATATATATATTTTCATTGCGTTTGAAATTATTCACGTTTTTAAACGCGATTTATCGGAACAATTTTGCTTAGTTACAACCATTTTATGTTTAAAATTCGAGCGATTTGGGTCGGTATTTCGAGAAAAATTTTGCCGAATTGAATTGAGATTGTGGTGGTTAGCGCTCAAATGCCCTTCTTTTTCTGTAGTTCTAATTATCGATTGAAGAGGTGTTGACCGATATAAAGTTGCATACGAAACGCCACAGTATCTAGAGTTCTAAATGAGTTATCTTATCTTAGTTATCCGCTATGACGACTCTTGAACGATCGCCACATCTCGCATATGGATGGCGGACTGTAGCACTCGGTATTTACTGCCGCGTTCACGGCAGCATCACACTCTGAGAAACTGGGATAGCGTGTGCGCGGTCGCTTGCATGTTGGGTGCACTTTCATATTGATCTTGCAACGGGTCCTGTCTCTGCCCTTAGGGCACTCGCATAGCGGGAACTTGATACAGCGCTCCTCCGATGTAGGAGGTGCCGGTGTAAAGGGCTTGCACGGCATCGGCTTCAATATGGGACACTTTTTAATCACAAATCGGGGACAATACGGCCTTTTTGTCTTGCGGCGCTTGATCTCCGGGGGCATCATTTTGGCCACGCATCGCTCGGCACGCTTCTCCGGCACACAGTCCACCCAGTTGACCTGGAAGGGACGATGGAGACTCTTGCTTGGCTTGTACAGGCGCGTATCGAGACGGGGTTGGTTGAAACAAAGCCCCATACACGTCGGATTGTAGGGTACATCGCACCGCGGGTAGCCCAAAATGGGGTTTGCCCTTAGCTCAGTATCTGGCTTGCAGGGCTTGCGCTGCTTATAGTATTCTGGCTGTAATTTCACAACCGGTATACATGTCTTCTTTTCCTTTATAACCGCTTTTTCGCACTTGAAACTTCCCATGGAACGGGCAGACAGGTAACCCCTTGGCCTCGTACACCGGCATGGCTGAACCAGGTCTTTCAAAAGATGTGTTGTGTAGTTGGCAAAATTTTTAGAACTCATCATCAAAATTAAAAATACAAAAAAAAATTTGGTTTGAGCACAAAACTGCCGGACGGAGCCCAAATGTTTACTGATTGTCTTTTGTGAAAATCAATATACTTATTATACACTGACAAGTTTAACCCAGCAAGCTAAGGATCGTAGCAAATTCGAATATGCAGAAACAAGCAGGGAAATTCTAGTCGGGAGTGTTCGGCCAGGAGATACCCTGGCCCAGATTTAGTGAGTGCGTTTCATTTATTTTTATTTCGGGTGAGTGCGGGCAAGGTATACAAAAAGTGAAATGTTCCTAATTTATATACACACACTTAAGCTTAATGCTTATTAAAACTCGATCTGCATATATAGTTAAGGAATTCCATATTTTTTAAACTAGAATTAAATCTTAAAAACAAGCAGGTACCGTTATTAATTAAGGCGCGTTCCTATTTGACTCTTTGATGCAGTTCACAGTTTAAGTATTTTATTTTCAGATGGAACTCTATCATAAAGCGCTATATATAAATTATCTCTTATACTTTAAGTTGTAGTGAAATTTTGGATGCATTTTGTAGAGCTCAACAAATAGTGGAAAACAAAAAGAAAAAACAAAAAATAGAATACAGCACTTAAGTATAAAACTCTACTCAACTTGGTATTTGGAATGCATTCAAAAGTTGATTCACAATTTCGCGGCGGGTCCTTCATAGTTAGAGTGCAAGGCTTCCCAGCAAAAGGCTGAGGCAAAAGTTTCAACAGCAAACAATAAACAAAACGCACTAATTAATTAGTGAGTGGGCATTTTGTGCCCGCGGGCCAACAGTCTCCTGCCCGTTGGTCACGTTGGCAGCGGCATTCCGAGCCAAGTGCCCGGGTACCCGGGTGCCCGGGTGCAGCGCTGAATTTGCGCGATTTTTCGTTTGCCCAACAACTACTCTATGCGAAATTGTTTTTTCAAAAGGCTTGGAATGTGCTAGTTTTTTTAACAGCCAGCTGCAATTTTTGCGTTTTTTTTGGCAGCCCAATTGGGCCCTGGGCAGCTGCCTTGAAATCGAAACGGGCAAAAGATTGCGCCGCCAAATTGTTAACAGCAATTGACCCAATTTTATGGCCCTGCACTCATGCATATCTTGCATGGGCTGGAGTGGGTTGTAAAAGCGAAAACTGGCCGTGCCTGTTAACTGTCCAAGCAGCGCGTACAACGTGGCGTATACTTATTGGATTTTTTTAAACCTTTCGCCCGCTGTTTTTGTTTGGCTTTATTTTATTTGTTTTGTTTTTTTTTTCTTCCCTCTTTTTTTTTTTGATGTGCGCAGCAAACCAAAAAATGCATGAGGCTGTTTTGCCGAGCCCGAACACAGTTCTCTCGACTTTTTACTTGATTTCTATTTTTTTATTTCTGTGCTTTTTTTGTGTGCTTGTATTGTCGTGTCGAGCCTTGGAGCCAGCTTAGCAGCTGCCATTAAAGCGAGAATTCGAATTCGTTGGCTTACAGCCAGCTTTCGGCGAAAAAAGAGAAAACAAGAAAAAACCATTTGGTGGACGCTACCATTACATATACACGAGCAAACTACCCGATTATTGACACTTTGAATTGAATTAGCCAACAGAACGTTATTCCTAGCCTATCCAGAGAGTAGGAAGTATCTGTTCCGCTCTAAATTCCAATAATTTGATAAATACCGAGCATAAATTTCAGATAGTTGAGACAAAAAAAGAATTTTTGTTTTATCCAGCTCTTTCATTCTGTGATTCTACAAACCCGGCTTAAAATGATTTACGAGTTATGCTTACAAATCCTTCTCTAAAAATTGATAATTATCGATACTATGAAAATGGGAGAACATAACGAAAAATAGATGAAAAACTCGTTTCGCCTATTGTACAGTAGAGTATATAAATAAGTTATATATGTATAAGGTATCGAGCTATTTCCAAGATCGACGCTCTTATATAGAGAACGGACAGGCGGATAGCTCATCACGGAAATATATACTTGACGGGTTCGAAGATGCTTCCCTCCGTCTGTTGCATTAATATACCCCTTTTACCAATTCCTTATGGGTGTAGGGATAAAACTATGTTTTGAGTAGCAGCTATAGAAGCGCTTATATTTAGTATTTTATTTTATATTTATATTATATTATGACATGAAGCAAGCATTAGAGCAATTTTTCCCTTAAAATAAGTTTAAATATTTTGTATATATACGCTATTGCAGAATATCTTATATAAGAGAATAATATAGCAACGTATGGCAAATGAGAGTCCCTCAGTATGTGCCCATTAAGGTGCTCTCTTGCCATTTGAATAAATAATGCTGTAAATTAAGTAACTGCAACTCAGTGCGCATAAAGCACAAATACACTTGCCACTTCCCCCAGCTGAGAATGTACACTAGACCCTAGCGGAGCGGAGGGCGTGGGGCAGGCATTAAAAGAGAAGGAGTCGTGTGCGGGACATTGGAATGATTTCATTTACTTGCAATCAATGAAATTGCACTGATGCAATTTTGTTGGGCCAAAATAAACAGTAACTGGAATGGGAAATAGCAAAAGTAACAGTTGCAGTAAAAGCAACTCGCAACTTGCAACTTGCAACTGGAGCGTATGGCTGCAGGAATGCGGGTGCGGGAGTAAATGTTGGGGACTGTCTGTCTATCGCAACAGCTGCAGGGGCGGTTGTGGGGGTGGCAAACGTCAGGGTTAGCATCGCGGTCTGCAGCCAGGAATTTCTCATATCGTAGCGAGGACACTTTCGGCTGGCGTAGACGCCGCCATGCCAGGACGCCAGGGCTGAGGCAAGGATGCGCTCACTGTGACTGCTCCGACTGCTGCCTCACGGCTGTCCCATGCTGTTAGTTCACGCGCTGCCATTGACATTAAGACCTCACTTGGGTGCGACAGCCACGCAGAGAGATTTGAAAAAAATGTCAGCTAGCTCCGAGTCGAAAAATGAGCAGAAAACGTAGCCAGGGTAGGTGAGTGTGTCTTAGTGGTGCCAGTGAACCACCAAGTAACCGACAATTGTGCACACACAGTCGAACGCCGCCGTCGACGCCGCGGCTGCCAGAGGAGGAATGCGAGCGCACGTCTCAGGCGCGAACGGCTGCCCAAGGGCTGGAGCACTCGGATGTGGCTTCAACAGGAACTGGGCGCACCGTTGATGGCGAGCGGCAGCCTGTTGAGGCTCTGCCAATGCCGCTTATCCTGCTGGCTGCACCATTGGGGCCGCGTGAAATGAAGGATGCGCAGGTGAATACCGATCCGGTGTACCTGCGTGGAACGCGTGTGGCAAATCGACCCACAGTACCAACAGTCCCTGTAGGCGACCCTAACTCAGCCTTAAGACCAACTGGATCTGAAGTGCCGCACAAATTGCCAACCAATGTGCCTTACAAGCAAACGCATGGCCGCAGGAGTTCAAGAAAGACCACCAGTTCCGACAACTACGATCAAGACGAGCCGCTTACCACCAAGAAGACTAAGGTATTCAAAAAAAGTACGTTCTAGATTAAAATATATTCAATATTGACTACCCCGAGTTACTTTAATGATAATATATATTCTCGTATGTTGCACGCATAACGAGTTAATAATCTTTGTTGAAATTTCATCCCATTTTCAAAATATCGATAAATATCGATTTTGAGACTAGGTCTCTTAAGCATAACTCGAAGATTAAGAAAGCTAGCTACATTCTCGTATAGTAAATACAAATCAAGATTATTTCACTTATTTTATATCTTCCTCCATTTTAACCAAAATTAAATAGTAATTTTCTAGAGAAAGCGCTTCGCGTTAATACACGCTTTTGTATTTTGCATAGCCCTTGTATTGCTTAACCCTGTAAATATCTTAAAAATCGGTCCTTAAACATCGAAGTAAGTTCAGAATGCAGTTTCTAAGGGATAAAGGCAAACAAGAGCAATGTGAATATAGGGAAGAATGATTCTAAGTGCAGCTTAGCGCTGGGCACAGATTATCCCCTAGTCAAGCAATTACATTGAAATTGAAAATTATGCTACGTGCTTTTTAACCTAACTAATGTTATACAAATCTGCGATGCAACTAGGACATGCTAAACCAAATCCGGCTGCTGACGAATCGGATGACTCGATTCTTGTCTCAAAAACCACTAACCACCATCTGCCCAAATCGAATATAGCGGCAATGAGCGATTTCACGGATTTACCGCGATCGGACGAATCGGATAGATCTCGGACCCAGGAGAGCAGCAGCATTAAGTACTCTAGCAGCGGCACGATCATTGTGACCGAAGGCGAGGTGGTGGATCTGGACCCAAACGATTTTCAGCAGGGCAATCTGCCGCCGAACTTAAGGCTGGCCTCCGGCTTGGCCTTCGTAAGTGAGTGGGTGGAGAAGGCTAATCAATCATGACTAATGATACCGCCTTTAAATCCTGCCCATAGATCTATATGGCCATACCGCCGGACGGTGGTTATGGCTGGGTGGTGCTGATCCTTAGCTTTATAGCACAACTCATTGTCGATGGCATCGTCTTTACGATTGGCATATTGCTGCCCCACATGGCCAACGAGTTCAATGTGAGCAACGGGCAGGTGGTGCTGGTGGGCAGCGTACAAATTGGTTGCTATTTTTTTGGCGGCGCCTTCTCCAGCGCGCTGATCAATATCTATGGCTTTCGGCCAGTGGCATTGGGTGGCGTCATCATCTCAGCCCTGGCCATGCTGGCGGCCAGCTTTAGTCCGAGTTTGAGTGCGGTGATCTTTTTTTACAGCATAATTGGTAAGTATCGAATTCGTGCTGCATGGATTAACCCCCAACTACAAAGGCCACAGTCGCCGCAGGTGGACCCGGACTGAGCATGATCTGGGTGAGCTCACAGCTCATCATTGGCTTCTATTTCGAGCGGTATCGGCCCATTGCCAGCGGATTCTCTTGTTCGGGTGCCGGCGCTGGCATATTAATTTTCTCCATTACCAACAATATTCTGGTCCAAAACATGGGCTGGCGGAATACTATACGCATTCAGGTAATTCTTTTGTGTCTTCTACTATTTGTGGCGATTGCCTATTTGGAGGTTGCACCATCGCCCGTGGGCGTGGTGCATCAAGCGGATCCCTTGACCAGCAGCAGTTCGAATGAGTATTATGGCAATTTCTATGTGCACAATTTTCTCGGCGATGATTTCTCCGCCAAGAGATCCCACAACGTGATCGAGACTTACGAACCGCCCATTAAAAAGAAAGGTAAGCTGCGTCGCTGCATCCAATTTTGCTGTCCTTGCTGCGGAAAATCGAAAGTTAGAGAGGAATGGACCGCCTCCGAGCGCTCTGAGCGCAATTATGTGGTGCGACCGGATCTTCTGCAGCGCGACGATCTCTTCTACACGGGACCCATTGACTATGAGGAGCCGCACCACAAGGAGCAGTTCGATGGCAAGGAACTGGAGCTGGTTGGCACCCAAACCCATGTGAGTGCACCACAGCCCCTCATAAATCAGCTCACTGCGAGTCTGTCTGATATATTTTTCCCTTTTTTCATCAGCTGCAAAGAGCTGCCTATGGTCTGCACAATATACACAACTATGACGGCAGCAGCAATATGTCGGGAACGGGTTCCGGTTCCGATGGGCGGCTGCGTCCCCTCTCGCCAAAGCACACATTTTCCACCGCTCCGCAGACACATCGGCGCAGGAAGTCGCGCAAGCCAAGGAAACGTGGCTGGCTCCATACGAAGGTAATGAAAGGCATGAATCGTCTGTTCGATGTACATCTGCTGAAGAGCTTTGAGTTCCGCATCCTGTTGGCCTCCGCCTTCTTCTATCCGATGGGCTTCAATATACCCTTTCTCTACTCCAAGATGCGCACCAGTATACCGGCTGAGTATGCTCGGATGATTGGCCCAGCTATCGGTGCTTCCAATTTCGTAACGCGTATCCTGTGCGGATTTATAGCCTACAAGCTGAGGAGCTGGACGAACTATATCTGTGGCGGTGGCATGTTCCTCGGCGGCGTCATGGTCTTCATCAGCGCTTTCTTCGGCACTGATTTGATCTGGTTTCAGATGGTCTATGGGCTGTGCTATGGCATTGCGCCAGGTGGGTTGATCTACCTTTAAGAAGTCGGTTCTGACCGACTGGGCAGTACTCTGTTCACAACATATGGAATGAGTGTGAAAAAACGTGTGATGCGAGGATCGCTGACTCTCAGAGATAAAGTTAAATTTTCGACAGTCTGCTGTCGTCTTTCTTCTCTTTAAATTATCATCGGACACATGATGGTAGTCGCTAAACATCTGAGTGCGATATGACCGCCCGTGTTTAAGAAATCGATAAAAATTTATGTTGAACCCTAAGGTCATCCAAAGACTCTTTTATAGCATAGAAAGAAGCTGAGCATATCCCCTTTTGCATAGCTCTTAGAGTTTCCTCTTTGGAAAAACGAGCAAATGCACGCCATATTCAGGAACTGAACATTTAAGCACGATCGGACAATAAGCACCGAAGCTATATAAAAAAGCGTTGCCCATTATGTTGGGCGAGCAGAAGAGAGCTTTTGATGCTGGATTCAGAGTACCCACTAGTGGACTCTTACTTGATTTTTTCCACATGTGAACAGAGTATTAGAGTTAGTTAACAAACTTACTACCTCCCCCATTTCTTCCGCACTCTTACAGCTGTCTATGCCACACTGCGCGCTCTCATCTATGTGCGCTACTTGGGGCTCACGAAGCTGACGAACGCCTTTGGCATTACCGCTCTGGCAATGGGCCTGGGTGTATTCATAGGCACCACTTTGGGTGGTTTGCTGCTCGACAAAACGGGCGGGTATGTGGTGCCATTTGCCTTTGCTGGACTGTGCATAATGCTGGCGGGCGCTCTGAAGCTGATTTTGCCGGCGCTGCTTAAATGGCGTCAAAAGCGATATCAATCAAGAGCACTTCGAAAATAGAGCACAGTTTGCGATGCATTGGTTTTATTGGCACTTGTTGTTGTTGTTGCTGTCACAGTTGCTGCTGTTTGAACTGTTTGTGGTATTTTACAAAATGGTTTTGTTTGCTGTTGCTGCTGTCGTTTTTATTTATTACATAATTTTGCATATTTTATGTGTAATTTGCTTTTGATTGGTTTATTTTACATTCAATTTGCTGCCGAAACTGTGCCTCTGGCTATTCATTCCCAACTCTTAAGCTTATAAACTGTGCGTGGCTCTCCAACTGTTTCTGAACTCACATTTTTAAGATTTTGTAGCTTAATTTTAATTCTCTGGCTCTAGCAATGCGTCTCAAGTGGCTGTCTAACATTTTAATGCACACCAAGGCAATTGCTTGAGCTACACGCTCAAACTGTACATATCCAAGCTTTATGTGACTCTCAAACTGTTAAGCTGTTATTATACGATGTGCCTTTCTAATTGTCAGTGCCACAACTGCAGCTCAATTGCTTTTTAACTATTTATCATTGGCCTTTGCACTTGAAATGAAAATAAGGCTTATTGCGTAAGTTGTGTGGCATAGTCTGTCTGTCAATCAATGTGGCTGTCAAACTTTTATTTTTGGTATTTAAACTGAAACTGAACTTTTGCCGTTTGACATTTAACTGAACAGTCTGTGTAAAGGCCCGCAAATTGTTTGGTCTTGTTTTTGTGCCTTTCAAGTTGTGGCTCTCAAACGGTTTGTGGTTTTGAGCCATATTGAGCTTGTTGGGTATTTTTAAAACTAGATTTTAATCGACTGCAGTTGTTGTTGTTTTACTTTTATTGCATTCATTTAGAGTTTAATTAACTTAGTTTACATCTAATGTTAGCTTAATTGCTGTTGCACACACACACGCGCACACACATACCTACAGAGTGTGAAAGTGTGTGTGATTTTTGTTTTTTTCCTTGTTTGGTTACGCAAATGTTCACGCTTTGTTTTGTTTTGTTTTTTTTTTTTTTTTTGGTTTGATTTAGTTTATATACTTAGATATGCGAGCGCGGTTGCATAAATGGCTGTCAAAATGAAATTAAATAGAAAAATAAGTATAACAAAACGCCTTAAAACATGTGTTTGATTTTGTGTATATGAAAATTGAATTTTGAAGCAATAAAATGTAATTAAAATAATAACAAATGAAATATTTACTTACCGCTCTCGCATAAGTCGCTTTGGTTGAATTTGTACGTCTACTATGAAGATTTTTTTTTTGGTTTTACGTTTTTGTTTTTGTGTGTTTATTTTTTGTTTTTTGTTGGTTTTCTATATATATATATATATATATATATATATATATATATATATATATATATAGAAAACCAACAAAAAACAAAAAAAAATGTATATATATATATATATATATATATATATATATATATATATATATATATATATATATGACACATATGTTGAAAGTTTTGCTTGATTTATACAATAAAATTAGCTTAAGCAACTCAATTAAAGAACTTATGACAATTTTTTTGGGTTTTTTTGTTGGTTTTTGTTTGTGTTTTTTTTTTTGTTTGTTTTTGTTATAGCCAAATGTTTGTGTTTCCTTATTTGTTTTTTTAAATCCTTTTTGTTTTAAATATTGTCAGTAGTCTTCGGTTTCATATGCAATTTTCATGATTTTCTTTTATATATATCTCGAAAATGTTACTGTCTGCATTTGCGTGCAATTTTAAAATCAATTTCTTTGTGAATTTCGTATCGTAATCTAAATTTAAATTAAAATCGCTCAGCAGTTGGTTTGGGTTTGTTGTCTCTGCCGTCTCCGGCCTCTGCGCTGCGGGATTTCTCGTGTCTCTTTCTCTACTGTTGTCCACAAAAAGCAATTCTTACGCCTTAAATTAAAATTATATTTATATATGGCCGGTTGCTGCAGCATAGCGCGTTCATGTGTCTGAATCGGACCTGCAGTCATTATTGGAGAAATTAAATGCATATTTGAATACAACAGTCGATATTGAACTGCTGGGCGGGTGGGTGCCACGGCGGGCGGGTCCACTTACCAATTAAAATAGCTCTGCGGCCCGTGACAGTTGCGCTCGGTGCCGCACCATTTGGACTGCTGCAGTGCCGGGCAGGGTCGCCCTCCGCGCTTGCCATGCTTGATGACTTTGCGATATCGATGCATCTCACCAATGCCGCAGCTCTTGCTGCAGGCCGTCCACTCGGACCAGTGGCCGACGCGACAGTCGCGACGCCGCTTCGACGCCGCCAACGAAGCGCGACGTCGTGATGAGCCCGTGCCCGTGCCCGTGCCCGTGCCCCTGCCCGAGACGGAGGCTGAAGCTGAGGCTGTGGCACTGGCAGTGGCAGTGGCAGAGCCTGTGGCCTTTGCCGGGTAGCTCGTTATGTTGTTATTGGCCGCATCGGTGCGCCGGTAACTGCTGGCAATGCTCTGCATCAGCGCATGCTTATCATTCTTGGGCACCACATTGACCACACCGCCTGGCTGTTGGCTGTTGTTGTAGCTGTGGGTGCGAAACAAAAATGGAAAATTAAATTAATTAATTTCATAGAAAAGAAAGAACATATCAATGCAACTTTATCAATCGAATTACTGACTTTATAAAATATTTTTATTATATAATATATAAAATTAATTTCTATATAAACAAATATAATACCAAAAGAATTCATGTTTTTTATTAGAAAAGATTTTTGCATTATTTGCATTCTTCCATTTGAAGTGAAATGTAAAAGTTATTGCGTGATTTTGCGGGGTTCGAGTCACTGTGCACGGGCACAAATTGCGCATGAAATAACATTTACTTGCTACAGTTTGATGCGCTCGTCTAACGGTAATTGCCGTAAATATGATCAACACAAATTGTTGCTAATAACTGCCGTTCAACACACACACGCACATGTGCACACACTGTGTGCTGTGTGCTTGTTGGGACAAATTTCTTACTCTCGAGAAAAAAGGAATGTTTGTAATTTCAATTTGGGAAATTTTCTTCATTACTTTTCCCACGCAGACGGCAGTCGGCAGAACCAGCTGCAGCCTCTGGCGACTCTGGGTTTTCCACACGTCTTTCCACACATTTTCCTCTCACTTTCGACGCTTTTGAGGCTTTTAAGTCTGTCGACTCGTTTGGACTTTTTAGTCTCGCGCTACACGTTTTCAATATTTTCGTCAATTTACTTGGCCCTGTATTTCCCGAAATCCGGACCAGCCCGCGACCTCCCCTCCTACTTCACGCTACCTCCTTCCATTCGCTTGATTTCTTTTTTCATTATTATTTGCGCGATTTTGCACGGCATATACGCGGCATGTGTATGCAAATAAACGAAAAGTGCAGGAAACAAAACACGGAAGTCGCCCAGGAAGGAAGGAAGGAAGGAAACTGACGGCGGCACAGCAAATGTTGCTTCCACCTCTGGCCTGGGCCCGGCCTGTTCTTCCGCGTCGGCCCTATTCCGAGCGAACTGCAAAAGGCAAATTTAAATTGAAATTGTTTTCAGCTGACGTGCTGAAATAAGAAACGCGCTCAGCGAGAAAAACACCTTGCAACAACAGCAGCAGCTAACATGGCGTATGTGTAATCTCTCTGTGATGTGTCTGTGCCTCAAAGTCTGTATTAAGGCATACGAAATCCTGCTTGTAACGCAGCCTTCTATGTTCTGTGCTACTTAAGCAAATCATAAAAGCAATTGATTTACAAGCAAATTCCTAATTTAAAGTAAAATTATTGCCAACAAATTTGCCTAATGCAATTTGTTATTAAAGTAGTGAAAAAATGTTAAATAGTGTTTCTTTTTATGCCCTATTCGATAAAGCGAACAAGTAAGAGCGTAGCTTCTACATAAATCATACCTATCATGTTATATTCACAACACAAAATTCCTGGAAAATTCTTGGCAACATATAGAAATAAGAAATATTCTAAGTTTGTTATTAAAACACAGTAGCTCTCAAACTGCGTGTTTGTACAATTTTTGGTGAATTCTGTAAAGTCTTACCATTTATGGACATTGCCTGTAAGCGGTCTTCAGCAGCTGTAATATAACAGGATCTTGTGCTTAATACTACTTCTAGTTTTAATATTGCTTTTTAGCTTAAATATTTGTTATAAAAGCTTTCAGTTTGACCTTAATATTTGATTGTATTTTTAAGAAAATAGAAAATTAACATATTTTTCTACGTTTTTCTTTGTTACGTGTTTCCTGTTAACAGCCCGTTAACAGTCTCATTTTTCAAACTAGAAGTGTTTTAGCACAGTTTAACCTATCAATCACATTTTATTTCTTATCGTCTGAAGCTAAATAATTACCCTAGAATAAGTTATCTGGCCTTTGACAGCTGCAAAAGACTGTCCTATTTAAATGGTTCAGTCCCAAGGGGAATTCTTTAAAGTGTCGCATTGATAAGTTTAGATAAATTTAAAGATAACACAATTAATATTCAATTTCTTCAGCTCTTCAGTGAAATCGGCAACAGATTTGCGCTCACAAAACTTAACAATTTATTCACAGTCACAATATATAGGATATGGATTTAGAGAACATATGGAAGATGCTCATTTGGTTATAAAGATACAGATATTTACACACAAATCACACGCACACTTCGTCTAGAGAATAACACAACAACAGACTTCCGGCTGTGTGTAGACAGTGGCTGTGGCAACGGGCGGCTGCACACGCGCTGTAACCACTGCGGGTCGTGGCGGTCCGTAGGTTTCGACAACAACTGGCGGTGGTGGTGGTGCAGCACCGATTACAATTGGAGGCGCACCAATAACGACCGGCGGCGGTGCAAAGCCAATGCCCACGCCAATGGGCGGCGGGCGTGCCCCAATATTGACATCCACATTGACATTGGTGCGTCCGGGTGGCGGCGGTCCGGGGCCATAGGGTCCTGGCCGAAAGCCGGGTCCGGGCGGTGGCCGGTGCACTGGGCCGGGTCCAAAGCCGCGTCCTGGCGGCGGCATCGCGCTATCCTCGAGTGTAGCTCAGCGCCCGTTGACTGACCGTTGACTGACGGTCGTGAAGTGTTTTATCGGAATGGTCATTCACTTTTTGGAGTTGCCCACGAGTGGCCACATCTAATTAATTATCAATTACGTTTTGTCAGCGACGGTGATTTTGTTTGCCCAACGATTAGATAAGGGTGCGTAGGAGGAAGCTTAATGCTCACATGCAGATAAGGCAGCTTTGTCATCGATAGCGAGCACAGCAATGACTGTGCCTCACCAGCCTGGGGAATGTGCTCTGAACATACAGAAGCAAGCCAAATAATATTGTGACTCAAATTGCAGTAAGCGTAGTGTCTAGATAAGAGATGAATGTTAAGTAACGTTGTATATGCGACAGCCCTGTAAACTAACATTTCTACTAATGTGTAACATTTATGTTAACTTAAAGAGGTGTACTAAGAAATCGAATTTCTAAAAATATTTTAGTTTTTAAGTGTTTTAACATATCATAACATATCTTCGAAATTCTGGAAGACAGTGGAATGTTAGGATTGCAGGAAAATCGAATGTTAACTTCTGATCTATTATAAAAAATTCGATTTTTAAAGTTAGAACTAGTAATTTCTCTGCTTATTGATTATTATTATTTAGGCAAACCAATAATAAATTCGAAATAATGTTGGACAAGATTTCTGTTAAATTTTCGGCACGTTTAGTTTATTTCGTATTTTGGATTATTCTAGTTAACGTGTTGAAAAACCTAAATAGGTTCTCATAATGAGTATGAATTATGTGCTTCATCTCTTCCAATGTTTTACAGCTTCAAGCAGGCCAAATGTTATTTACAGACAGCCTGAAGCTTTTATTTAGACATCTTTAATTATGAAGCTCTAGCTCTAGTGCAATATATGCGAAGTATGTATATTGACTAGAACTTAAGAAGCTTTAAAACACACACTATGCCGCTCTCGATCTAATGCATTATATATTCCATTGCCTTTTATTAAAGGTAAGTAGAAAGCTTTAAATGTTACTCAAAGCTCTAATTAAAGCTCAGTTAAAACTCTATTCAAAGGTGAGGATTAAGATTAATTTCTTAGGAAATCCGGCAACAACATCGTTTCTTCGGCTCCTGCAGTGGTGATGCAGTCAAATCCATGCTGACCCTGTACGATTTTCTGCGTGTATCGATGGTGTCGGCAGTTACCTCGCCGACGAGCACCATAGGTTGTGCCAATGGCGCCCCCTTTATCGGTTGAGTCTCAATGATGAGCTCCGTTTGGCGTACTGATGGAGCTGTTGCTGCAGCTGTAGGAGCTGCAGCCACGGTCAACGACTGCACCACCCACTCAGAGCTATTGTTGGCGGCTGGTGCTTGTTGTGGCAACTGCTTAACTGTGGCCAAGGACGCGGACTGTTGTGGCAGCGCATCCGAATCCGTTAGCGACACAGCCTGCTCGGTTGTTGCAGTTGGCGGTGGTGCAGGTGCAGACTGCTGCAGTTGAGTCTCACTGCTGAACGCTGTTTGACTTACAGTAGCTGCTGCTGCTGCTGATGTCACTGCAGTGTCTGCTGCTGCTGTCTGGAGTGGTTGACAGCCGGTTGAGCTCCTGGGCGTGGGTGGTGTCTGCATTGCCAGCGGCTTCGGCTCTTCAGTTAATGATGCTGGCTGCTGTGGCGACGCATCCAAATCAGTAAGCCACACAAACTGGTCCTGTTCATCGCTGGGCGTTAGATAGGGTGGCGAGGACTTGGGCAGTGGTGGTGGCAAGGACAACTGTGGTTCGGCTTGTTTGTCTTTATGATGATGGTGGTGATTTTCTGTCTCTGGCTGCTCAGTCTCTGTAATATCCAAGCCATCGCTGACATCGGTTATGGTTAATGTCGTTGCCCTTTGATCATGATGTTGACGGTGATGATGACGATGTTTGTGATGATGCTGTTCGTGATGCACGCGCTTCGCCGGCGTTGGCGTCGTCTCAATTGTTGCTATTTCAAAACTTTCTATTACTATTGCGCCATTTATTTCCGTGCTAATTTCTTCAATTGTTGTTGTTGTTCTGCTTTCCATTTTTTTTTTTTAAATTTAATTTTTCGCTCGCGTTCAGCTGCGTCTTCGCTGTGTCGTCTAACTAAAATTTTACAGTCCCCACCCCGTCAATTTATAGTCTAATGTTTATGTCATAGCAAATGTATTTTCATGCTACAAATCCTTACAAATAGTCGCTAGATAACCGATAAGATAGCTGCCAAATGTTTGGGTTTTTTTTTCGCTTTTAACTTATTTGGCAACTATTTAACTTGGCATTTGGCTGTGCTTGTTGCTGTTGCTGTTGTTGTTGTTGTTGTTGTTGTTGTTTGGGTAACTGCTCTCGAACTTTACCTTCTGGCTGCTGAGCACTGGACTCTACAAATTACATTAATTTTTGATATAACAACTTCCATTTGTATATGGATCTGGCATCTGGCTTACTGCTCTTTTGTGGTTGTTGTTTCTGTTGTCGTTTTCTCTGTGCATTGTTTGCGCTCGCTCCAATAATTACAAGTGTTGCTGGCGGCACAGACATTATTTGTGCTCAATATGTTTGTTGTCTTGCTGATGTTTTTGTCTGGACGCAGTTAACTCTACTGTTGGTATTGGCGGGCACTTGCCTTACTTTTATAAGTCGAACAAGCTGCATATCTCACAGACCTGATAAGATATTAATAGATAGTTCAGAGCTGTCAATAGGCCAGGGCTCATTTTTTAAATTCAACTATTTAACTATTGTAATTGATAACTAAATGACGTCATGCTATTGGGCTGTTCTAAAGCACAGAGTTCATTGCATGCACTTCAATTAAGTTTGGGTGCACCTATTATTAATGGGTTATTTTGAGATTCATTGCATTTGAAGTTATATCTAACCATATGTCTTTTGCAACATGATTTTACTTTTTATCTTGAATACATTTGGATAAAAATATCTTTCGTTTGGGTTTTAGTTTAAGTGATTCAGTTTTAAGCCCATAATACTTTGTACGTTACATTAAATATCAGTGGGAGGTAAGCATTGGTTGGCTTATTGTGTCACAAGATATTTTTTGTTTAGTTATACTTTTTAAGGATCCTCTTGCCTTTTCGATTCTTTAGCTTTTCATTCTGCGATTTTTTAGAATGTTAGATTAGTTTGAGGGTAGGCTCTGTAGTTTTAGACACTTCACTCCCTTTGGGTTAATTATCTGTTGCAGTTTGACAGCTTTAGCTTAATCAGGTTCTTTAAAATTATCTATTTTTATTTAATTGAATGTCCCTCGCTGCAGTTGCATAATTTAAGGCCCTGAAGGTTCCCAGCCCGGCTCGAAGAAAAAATTGCAAGTCGAACTAGTTTGAGTCCAATTCACAATCTTTCAGATGCTATAAAATATATAACCTAAATGACACCAAAGAACAGTCCAACCAAAAACTAAAGCAAACTTTTTGTTTATTTTCTTGTAAGAGATGTTTTTGTTCATGTCAATATTTTATATTGGAAGAAGTTAGTTTCTCAGTAGCAAGCTATTCAGTTTTGTTTTGGAATTTCTTGCGGCTCTGTAGTTTTTTGTCTTTTAAAGCATTTCTTATACCACTTTTTATGAGTTTTTGCTGTGGCTTCACTTTGCTTGGGATTTGCTTTTGGATCTTGCGCTGCAAAATGTACGATGAATTTCTTCTTCTTATGTGAATATTCATTTCTTAAAGGTCAAGGCTTACTTTTCCGCTGCGACTGCAACTGCTGCTTGTATTGGCTCTGCTGCAACATTTGCAGCTGCTGCATTTGTTGCAACCGCTGCATCTGCTGTTGTTGCTGCTGCTGCTGCGGCATGTTGCATGCGCTGTTCAGGCCAATAAGCGTCGTTGTTGCTGCCAGTGCGAACATATTGCTGAGACCGGGTGTGTGTGTGTGTCGAGTGCTTGGTGTGTGCTTTGCTTTTATAGACGCCGAAAGAGGCACGCGACGGCATTTTGATAAGATTGCGAGTAATTACACTATCCAAGCAGGTTTTTGGCGCTTGGCATTAGTTGGCATTGCTCTTGGCGCTTTTGTCAGCTTGCCAATTGCTGTTGAAGCCAGGCCAGGCCACGCCCACGCTCTAGCTCACGCCCACGCATCGCCAGCGGCACTTTAGCCAGCTGACACTCGAACACGTACGCGCCTCAAAGCCCTGCCTGCCCCCAGCCTTGTTTGCCACCAACTCCTGCCTGCCCATCGGCTGGCTTGGATTCGGTCTGTTTCTGGGTCTCGGGTCTTTGGACTTGTCATTAAATATGCAGGTTACCAGTGCCAATGGTGCCAAAAATCCACTCCACTTGCACGCTAGGTGGGCGTGGCACTGGATTTGTTTTAGTTTGCGTTACGTATCCTGCACGTTGAGAAGACCCACTGTCCTAGGTCGAGCTGGATTTCAGTCTTTAGTTTTCTGGCACATTTGTATACCCTGTAGCCATAGAAAATTGCTTGAAAAGGGCCACAATGTTTCTTTGGAAATATTTGTAACAGGCTGATGAAAGCCATCTGAGTTGATCTATTGGGTATTAAGTCTAGATTAGCGATATGTCTTTCATTTGGATATTAAGTAATGATTATCGAAATACTTCCGTTTAAGCTCAATTGATAATAATCGACTTTTTAGCCTGTACAAGTTAAATATATCAACTCGAACTATAAGATGCAGACATATCAAATACACAGATCAAGAACAAACATGAATTTTGTATACCCTGTGGCAGAGGAATGACCCTCACCGGCCCCAGGGCATCTTCTAGTCGGTCACTCACGACAGCGCGCCTCTGTTTGTTTTCTTCGTCCGCTTTTGCTGTTACTTCTTGCTTTTGGGGAAAACTTTTTAAAGTTGCAGCATTAGCCCAGCTACGTGCCACGATCTCTGTCAGTGTCTCAGGCCAAACACGAACGCCCCGCCCCCTCCTTCACAAGCTGTTTGCCGGAGTAGTGTAATGTGCTTTGAAGTGTGCTAGAGAGCTGCTTTTGTTTGTTGTTGCTGCAGCTGGTGCCTGCTTTAAATGTGTTGCAAGTAGTTTTCCACGTCGCGGACAAACACCTCACGCATATGCTAAGTATGGCGAATTGATGTTTAGCTCACATTGACAAGGATACGCAGATAGATAGCCAGAGTCAACTGCATTTAAGCATGCGTCACGTAGGCACAAAAAATGCACAGCCTTATGTATGTTATTTATATACAGCAAAGCTGTGTCAAAGCTCTTACAAATCGCCTTTCAGTTGAACTCTTGTTAGCTTGTGGAACTACTTAATTGCGTATACGCCTTGTGTGTTCTTTTATGTTTCTGCCTTGTCATTATTTTTTATCGCTGAAGCTAATTTATCGTTTACCTATTTTTAGTTTCTTGTAATTATTGAGCATTCATGACTGTGTGCTTGGCTATATTTAGATACAGCCACGAAGTACATATACATTTTTGTGTCAATTAAAATTAGTTTGAGAAAAGAACAAAATTGTTATTGATTAAGGCTTAGCGCAGTTAATTACAATGAGACTCATATTTGGGTCTAAGTTCTACAAATATTGATCGGCTTCATTTGGAAAATTAATGAGTACGGAAAAACTCTGCTTAGACTTTGTATTTATATTTTTATAAATTTAGATGTCTCAAATATAGAGAAAAAATATAAAGGTAGCTCATGGTTTTCCTTGTGGAAGCTTTGTAAAATTTTGAATTAAAGCACAAATTTTTTGTACTCTACTCACTTTGGATTCATTTTGGCCAGCAGCTGTGAGCGTATGCGTTGCCTCTCATCATTAAAGGGTGTCTGCTGCTCCCGTTCCCGCTCCCTTTGACGCTCCCGTTCGATGCTCGCGGAGAGCTCGTTGTTCATCTCCACGTGATTGTGCTCGGCATCCAGGTGGGTTTGCGTCTGGACTGTCTCATATTTGCGATCATCCTCGGCAATGTTGAATACTTCGCTCAGCTCGTACTCCCTTAGCTGCAAAATGGAAAATGGAAGGTTTTCAGACTCAGCTAAGCAAATGTTAAGCACACTCACGGGCACATGTGTGTGTGTGTGTGCAGCATATTAATTTACGCGGATTATGTGCCCGGCATGAGCAAAGCGAATGCTTACAGCTAAATACAAAACAGGTGCATGAATAGCTGCGAGCATTCGTGTGTGAGTCTGAGGTTAGTATGGGCATGTGTGTGTGTTGTGTGTGTTATGTGTGTGTGAGTTTGAGTACAGGTGCGCCTAACGCGCTGCTAATTTCAATTTGTGGCAAATATTGACACAGACACAGCAGAGAATACCACTATGCGGCAGGTGTATACATGAGCTAGAGCCGGGGCAGGCTTAGGACTAAGAGGTAGCGAGGGGTAGCTCTGGCTATTGGGTCTGCGACAGCGAGTATAAAAACTTTTGTTGGCGCGCTGTCGCGCATTTTAATTTATTTGTTTGGGCTGCTGTCATTTTCTATATAGAGAGCGCCTCGCATTGTTATTGCCACATTCTCGTTTTTGTTGATGTTGTTGTTGGCCCTGTTTTGCCACACTTTGGGGCCCGCAGCTTATCGGGGGCTACCTTTTTCGCAAATGCGTCGACAGCGCACGGCTCTAGTCCGCGTGTTGCTTCTGTGGCATTTAAATACACACGCACACGCATACACACACAGACATCCACACATAATCCGCACGGCGCAACAAACACTGTGAAATTCCTTGTGGATTACAAAAACAGACCCAGATCCAAATCCACAGGCAAACAACACAGGCTCAGCTCTCTGTTCTCCACTCACGGTCTCGACTCTCACACATTCCATTCCAATCCGAGATTTCATGCCCTTTTTGGCATGCGGCAAATGGCACACAAAGCATTTCCGACATTCACTTTAACATTTCAACCAAATTTCAGAATTTAATGCTCAACCAAATCAACACATAATTACACCGAGCAGCGGGCGGGCCTGCATAACTAAATCTCCTGGCCTGGTCCACATGTCTTGGCCATAAAATGAAGCCGACGACCATTTCTTCTAAGTAAATAACTTTCCATTTCGTTTGGCCATAAACAAAAGTGGCCAAATATAAGCTAAATAAATGCGACAATGCGCCAATTAGTACACTTTGAATACCCTTTCTTGTATAAGAGCTAGATTTTTCAATAGGTGCTTTTTAATGTAGCTAATGTAACCATATGTGCTTCGATTGGATCGATTCACGATTTCATATACCATAAGAAAAATTTGGCAGAGATTGGGTTATTAAATATATTGTTTATTTGCTTTTTAAGATTTCTCGACATTTAAGAGTTGTATTAGCAAAATCCAATTAACATGTGACAACTTTCTAACACAGTTCTTTAAGAAGAATAGGTCAAAAGATAAGTTTATAAAATGGAAGAATTTTTATTTTCCTATATATTAATTTGACTACTTATTAGATGGCTGACATTGCAGGTGTAGTCAATGAAAGGGTATGCAAAAGAGTAGACATTTTTAGGGCCTTCACACCAACGTCGCCAACCAAATGCCACGCCCTCAACCATAGAAAATAAAACTAGAATTAGTTGTGTCAAAAAGGCGTTACAGC